ATCCAGTACAGTAGATCACCAACTTAATTGTCGTGTCAACTATTCGCATCTATCTTAGCATTGTCGGTCGGTCAGTCAGTCCATCTATCCATCAGGCGGTATCAGTCTCCATTAAGTTTAACATGGTTTTCAGTTTTGATGCACAATCAGAATCCCATTCTTGTTTTATTGCTACCCTTTTTGGATTTATATAACTACAGTATTTAATATCTAAAAATTGAAATACCGTATGGCCATTTTCAGTTAACAAAAATAATCTGACCTTATCAATCTCGTATCTAAGCAAGAAACCCTGAAATGATCTTGCTAATCTGAATTAGCAGATGGCCAACGCGCTTACCACCACCACCAACACTACCACTGATTTCATCTGCTGTTGTGTAAATACCGTCAACATTCTTGTCATGAGACATGCTCTCTCGACGATTAGGCCCTACCCTTTCTTCACCAAAACCATTCGTTTATCTTCGATTAAAAAAAAAAAACTCCCCTTGAATTTTCCAATTTCCCATAAGCACACCTATAATTTTCATTTATTTTCATAAGCGCCCCCTCAATTTCAACTCTTTTTTCATAAGCGCCCCGTTTTAAGCGCCACTCAAAAAGAACCAAAAATATTTTAAGCGCCCGGGCGGTTATTCGCGCGAGTATGGTACCTAACCAATCAGAAAATCGAACCACTGTACTGTGTAAAGCTGGTTTTCCACTAGGCGAATTTATTCGCGCGAATCAAAGCGTCGGCTCGCTTCCTGAGCTCTGATTGGTTGCGCATTTTTTCGATAGGAATGTGGATGCGCATGTGCATAAGCCGACGCTGGATTCGCGTGAATAAATTCGACAAGTGGAAAACCAGCTTAAAGCCAGGCACTCACTACGTCGTACATTCGGTCGCACGACCGGCAGCCGACTAATCCAACTTCGCTCCTTGTTGAATGGGTTGTTTTGTTCGGGAAAAAGAAAATTTTCTCGGTGGATGAATTTTTGAATGAAATAACGAAAACCCTCTAATGACTCAAGTCACGATAACAAATGCCTCTTGCACTTTGCTGAGTAAAAATTGAAATGGTTTATCAAAGCAACTTTGTATTTGACTTAGTCAAGGTTGACTGTAGAAATGCAACAGCATATCTGTTTTTAGTTAGTTAGGAGGCAAGTGGTATGGCATAGATTTCTAAATATAAACAAAAACAGGACAATATGTCAGGAAACAGTAGCATTATCATTTTCTTGAGTGTGGTGCCTGATATTATTTGGGGTAAAAGTGTTCTGATCGAAGCGAGGAACCAAATGTTGGGGGGGGGGGCAGATGGCAGGCCGAAATCTGGGGGACCTGCTCCCCCCACTTGGCGACGCCACTGCAAGGGGCGACGGTGGGGGCTGAGGTAAGAAAAATTATGATTATGGCACCTCCTCTAAATGATCGGAAATGGCACTCTCAGATTAAAAGTTGATAAAAAATTTTTCTGTTTTTCTTCATTTTTTAAGTCAATTTTAATTCGAGTTGAGTCCTAGTTTACAATGTACTCTACTACGGTTTATTGTTCAAAACATGTTTTTTTTCTTTTTGTAAAACCACAACATAATTATAACATTTCTAAACCTGATG